TTCAGACGGTTGAACCTTGAACAATGTTTTTACTGTGAGACTGAAACTGATTCTCTCACTAGTAAAGTTCCATTCATGTTTAACATTTCAGTAACTACACATAACCTGAGGAAGGAGTGGCAAAAACGTAAAAGAAGAATATCTGGGTAGTAATGTTTGTTTTGTTTTCCTCTGTGTGTTTATTTGAATCTTTAGCTGAGCAGATCAGGATTTCTGATACTTCTGATCCAGACTAACTCGACCAAATCAGTCAGAAACTTCCATCGAGTCCTAACTCTAATGAAACGTATCTGTCCAGTGAGCTGAACAAAACACGCCACAGAACTACATTTTCAAACACTCTCAGCATTAAAGGGATCTTTCCAGTTGATGAAGTCGCAGCATCGGCCTCCTTCGTTCTTAGAAGTCGGAGGAGACAATGTTTCCCATTGACTGGAGTCATCTGGTCTGGACCCGGCGCTGCCCAGGATTAACGCTGCTCAGAGAAGATGTCCAGGGGGCTGGATGCACTCGGGTCTTGTGGGCGGATGTGAGATTTATCAACGAGAAAAGAGCAGTCACATGGAAACACACAGCCTGCAGCTACACCAGGAGGCTTGGGTTTTCTTTGACTGTAAATGAAACCTGACATTTTTAATGACATTAAGATATAACCAGACACAAAAAAGTTAACAAATTGTTTTCTTAGATCAGGAGATGGTTTCCAGCTTGTGTTCCATGTTACTTTAGATTCTTTTAAAGCACTTTAAAAACAACCACAGCTGCAACTGTGTGTCAAAAAAACTCAAAGAACATTTAAAGTAAAAAAATAAAATAAAAGTAAATGTAAAAATGATGAAAACAAATTCTCTCCTACTGAAAATAATACAGACAAAGCTTCAACATCCACTTGRTTGTTATAATTCATGTACAGCTCAGGTTTAAACCTGAGATCACATTGTCAAACTCCTGAGAGCTTCAAAAATGAATTGGTGTCTTAAAATAATCAGCTTTAAAGCCACTGACTATAAACAACATTTCCCATGATGCATGTTGATTATTTCACCTGTGAAATGATGACATCCAAACAGTAGGTGGCGCTGCACAGGGTTCAAAAGCTGTCGAAATTCAGCGAGTAATCAGTGCATTTACCCCAGCTACTTTTACTGTGKCCCAGTTGTACTGKGAAGTGGGATTTTCCCACTTACAAGTCTTAAATTTAAACTGAAAGTGGGAGGGTTCCGAATTCAAGACGGCATCTACTCATCACATCTCATAAGTGAGAAAAACTCTTACTGTTACTTTAACAGTATTTCTGTATTTATTTCGCATGTGGTCAGTCGTACACATGGTACTTTTCAGTGTTATAAGAGGACATGTTACACTGTTTCTATGCAGGAAATACCAGGCAGAGCTCGGTTATTGTTTGTTAGAGGGGTTCAGAAGTAGCACTGAGACGAGGAACATGATGTTTTGTGTTTAGTTAAAGTTAAACACAAAATGTTGAAGTTAATTACAACTGAGGAGCACCATGATGCTCATGTGACCCTCAGTGAAAATGAGTTTGACTCTCCTGATCTAAAGGTTGCAAAACAAAACTTCACAATTCTGACAGTTTGCGGTTTCTTGAGGTACACTCAAGACTGAGTCTCAGGTAAGAGCTGGACTGACTGCTGTCCATGAACACCCTGCAGCACAGAGGAACTAGACATTAAGAAAGAGGACCCACCCAGAGTGGTGACCCCAGGTGGGACAGTCCTTTTCATGAAAATATGCAATCTCATATGGGCCAATCACCTGCCTCTGTCCAGCACTGTCAGGCATCAGAAGCTAAGATTATTACAGAAATAATACTTTTAGGTTTAAGCCAGTAATTCATGACATACTTTAATGACCCAGTTCGTCATGACACCCTGTTCATCAGTGATCATAGCCAGAACAAGACCTGCTCACAACAGTCATTCTTRGATATCACTTGTATTTATCTTTGTGTTTTCCTTAGGATGAAATCTTGCTTTATTAAGATGACACAATGGTGTTTGTTAAACAGTAATATGAGGCCTCAACTGCCTCAAAGAGAGAAGAATCAGGAGCAGAGAGCAGGGGGACAGTCTGATGGCTCTACGTTCGCTGTGTTCCTGTTGCAATAAAACTCAGCTGATCATTCCACAGACAACCTTCATTCTTGGACCACATATTTCTGTCTTTGTTAAATAAATATTTCCATAACAGGATAATTCATRATTCAGTTTCCTTACTTGAGTCAAAGTACTGATCTTACTGGTCAAATATTRCTCMAAGAGTAAAAGTAAAAGTAGCTCTGTCTCTTACTTAAATTAAATTACTAGAGTATGTGGTTTCAAAAATACTTAAGTACTGAAATGACTTTAAATTGTGAGGCTTTTTAACAATGAATTTCACAGTGACTACAAATATAAAATTAAAAACAAAAACAGCGAGTCAGTATAGTGGTGGAAGACTGATGATCTGGGCTCATGCTGTGGTTGATCGTGTGCCGATCTGGAGACCAGTGGTGATATCCCAATACCAGCATTTTTACAAGTACTTGTACAAAATGCTCTGATACTTTGAACCATTAGCAATACCAGTATTGATACTGGGATATTGGGATCAATACTCCAATGAATGTGGGACAGTTTATAGTTCAAGTAAAACATTTGTCAGTTTTATGTGTTACAAAATAAATAAAATCAAAAAAATAAAATCTTGTTTGATTAAAAATGTTTCAATAGTATATGTCATGCTGTATATCTGATTTGATCCTGTCAGAGKGGCTTTCATTCTTTCTTTTTCATTTATTTAAATAGGGACACGTTTCAAGTACTAACAATACTATACAACATTTGTAGCCAAAGCTAGTTTGCAAYGCCCGTCCATAGATAGGCTTTTAGCAACACGAAAGATTAAAACTCACTCATAAACTTAAAAACCAACTTAAAAACAAATCATTAAAAGGTGACAGTTATTCATGACTTCAAAGCTGGTTTTCCTTCAGGAAATGCTTCAGTTCTAATCTAAAATRAGTTTAGTATAAGGAAGGAGAGACAGCTTGTTCTAAATAAAAGAAATTTGTTTTTAAAGTCACTGTGTAAGGTCTCAGTTCTGACTCAGTAAGTACTCAGTGTCAGCGAGTACCCAAACTGAAGTACTTGTGCTTGGTTTGAGACAAACTGGAACTGGGACACCTCTAGACCAGTCAAATGTGAGACCATCTGTCTGATGAGTGAAGCTTAAAGCAAACTGGGTCATGATGCAACAGAGCTGATTCCAAACACAGCAGCAAATCCACAACTGACCGGCTGAGAAACTAAAGAATCAAGATGTTGCAACGGTCCGACGTCCAGACCTGAAMCTGACTGAAATGTCTGGTTAGGTCTTTGAAAACAAGTTAATTTCATCAATGAACTGAAGACAAGTGGCATAAAATGCTTTCATATCTACAGACTGTGAGAGGTGGATACAAACTTAAACCCATCATGTCTCAAACATCAATAATTTAGTGATTTTTGACCTTTTTCTTGTTGCATCACTTTTGTTGGTTCCTGGCAATTAAAGCATCTCAGAAGACCTGAACTTATAAAGATTCAAAACTCAGTGGTCGTCACAGAAATTCATATTTTAATACTTTCTGAACATTAAAGCATTTGTAACATAAATGGTTTTCATATTAAATCTAATAAAAGAGAAATTAAATCTATTTAAAGGTTAATCTAACAATAATTTGGAGCATTTCTCTATTATGTGTCTCCATGTCTGACCCACAATTATAAATAAAGCATCTCTCTCCTTCAGCCTCACCTGACTTCTACTTGAATAATGCACTGTGATTATTAAAGGGGGGGGGGGGGCTAAGTCCTGAAGGAATGCTAATGAGTTCTAAGCCGTCATAAAACAGACGTCTGTTTTTTTTTCTTCTTCTCGTGACTCTAGAGGTGTGATTCTGCAGAAAGAAAACACATCTTCAGGCTGTTCAATAAAACCAGAAATGGTGTCAGTGTTTACATTCCCCTGTGCATGAGGTCACTTTTATTTGTATTTGTTTTAATCCTACGCATAAAAGTCACAGCTATCCCGCTCTAACTTTGCTTGCTATTTATATAAAATTTACATATAAAAGGCATTTGATTATCCTACTTGCAAAAACTGCAACAAAAAAACGTATCCTCCTAACCAATTGGAAATCTGAAAAATCACCATCAGCAGGACAACGGATTGAAGAGCTGGCTTCTTGCTGCAAAGCCGGATAAGATTCTTTATAATGTGAGAGGGAGGCAGCTTTTGAAAAAATCTGGAGCCCAGTCATATTCTACCTACTCTGGATTTAAATGATCAGGCTGTAACATGAACGTAAAAGTAGCACATTAGGTAAGCATCTTATGTATTTGCTTCATTGAGACTATGTATGAATATGTGCTACTTATATGACTGTGGCATATAAATGCATAAAAGTGAGAGACATACGGGGAAGGAGGGTAGGGATGGGAAAAGTTGTTGCCTTATCGTTTTGCATGTTTTTTTATTTATTTTTTGTGGGGAGGGTGGTTGCTTGGTTAGTCGGTTTTGTGTGTTTTTTTCTAAAAATTTTCTTTTGATATGCAAATTATCCTGTATTGTGTGCTAAAAAGGGCATATGTTGATCACTGTCAGTTGAAAATGTGTTTTTCTCGTTTTGGTTCTTTACAATGTATGTGTAGATGCTTATTTTGCACCACAAAAATGAATAAAATCTATAAAAAAAGGCATTTGATTTCCAGCTAAAACGCTGCTAGATTTAACAGACCTGGTTTGGAAAAAATGTGCACTATTTTATTTTTTACTGCTTTCCAAAAGCACCGAGATTTAATCCAGATTACAACATCAGACAGACTTGTTCACATAAAATAAAATCCAGGAAATTAAAATAATTTTGATCTCTGCCTGCATCAGTTTGTGTTGCACTCATCACTCCTAAAGCCTTTAGTAAAAACATTAGACCCTAAAAAACTGCTGCAAACCATAAATACATTGTTCTCATGGTATTTATTAACAGAAATGTATGAACATTTATCATGAAGGAATGAGACCTTGTGTTGTGAATACATGGCACGATCATTTACATTGTTTAATTTGACAGTGCACAATTATATTGAGGGGGTGTGGGGTAGGGGTGGGGGGGACCCTTCTTTGGCCTCTGACTGAAGGGAGCCCCGTGACAAACACTGGCTTTAAGTTAAAAAGAATTTTCGTCATTTTTAATATATATATATAAAGAAACGTGGCCATTACTAAAAAAAGGGAACTCTTGATTTTATCACATCAACTTTTATATACAGTCTAAAGACGATTATTTCACACAAAGCAAAGAGAAATCTACCACAGTGCTAGGCTGTAACTGCAACAATATTACTGTAATCCCATGTAACACAACAATCACAGGAGCAGCTGATCATCCTGCGTCATTTGAAGAAACTAAACTGCTGTTTCCTTCTTGATTAGCTTATAATTCTTTTGAAGTTCATTGCACATCCTCTCTCAGCAGAATGTCTGAACGTGTGCGACAGATTAACACAGATTATCTGCAGCAGCTGCTTGTTTGAAGCCAAGGCTTCAGTGTCCCGTCAGGTAGTCCTGCGTGGAGTCGGAGGCAAACGAGTCGGCGTCCTCGTTATCAGAGTCCTCGCTGCTGTCGTCGGCCGCTGGTTCCCCGGAGAGGGCGATGCGGGCGTAGTCGTCCGTGTCGATGGACTTGCAGAAGTGGATAGCGTATTTCAGCTTCCCCTCCAGCACATGTTTGCACGAGTACCTGGGCAGCTTGAGCAGGAAGAAACACGTGTAGGACTCTGGCAGGAAGTGGTCAGGAGGGATGTATTTGTCCAGCACCTGAACACAAACAGGAACGAGACGAGAAATTCAACTAGAGAAACTGCAGTAAATACAAAAAAAAAAATAAAAAAATAAAAAAATAAAAAAAACTCAAATCAGCTGAAACCTAAAATAAATAAATAAATAAATAAAATAAGAAAAACAGTGAAAGTAGCAGAAAAAAGCATTTATACTTATTTAAGTGGAACAGCTGAAATTAATAAAAAAAATACTGTAAAACTAAAACGAGCTTAAAAAAGTTCAAATAACAGAAAAACAAACAGCTCCTGAAAAATAAACGAGAAAAGCAAAAATTAGCAGGAAGCAGCTGAAAGGATCTAATAAAGTTTAAACTTGCAGACACAAGCTGAAATTAGCAGAAGGGAGCTGAAATTAGCTGAAGGGAGCTGAAATTAGCAGTCTGAAAAAGATAAATATTTCATAAAGTAAAACTTGTACAAATCCAAAAGGTCCTAACAGGAATGTCCTGAATGAGCTGAACGTTTTGATACATGAACTGTTGAAAAAGCTTAAAAACTGAGAAAGAATACGAGCCAAAAACACACAGAAGAAAAATACATCTCAGTTGTGTGAATGCTTCATGAACTTTCACACAATTAACTATGTTTAACTCTGAGACTAAAAGAAGCTTTACTACCATTGGGCCTCATGCAAGAACCGTTCGTACGCACAGATTTGTTCTTAAGTTGTGCGTACGAGTGATTTAGGAGAATTTGTGGCATTCACCAATGTTTTCGTATTCTAMGATTTTTTTCAGATAYGAACAAAATTTACGAGTGGTCCAGACCTGTCGTATATTTTACCAGCAGTCAGTCTGCTGTTATCCAGACGAGTTTTCTTCACTAATAACTTTATATTTTATTAGTTTGAAGATATTTAGAGTTGAAAATAAATCACACTCCATAATTATGTTGACAATAGGCTATTCTGCTTGAATTAGAGTTATAATTTTAAATGTAATAATTTAGACTAACAATATAAATTGTCCGTCTGGCCGGCTTTTCCGGGATCGGGTGCGGGGGCAGCAGAGAGACTTCCCTCTCCCCAGTGACACCTTCCAGCTCGTCCTGGGGGACTCTGAGACGTTCCCAGACCAGAGGGGGTACACTTGAAAACATTTTAAAATGCTTATTTCAAACCCGCATCTGAGACCACCGCAGCGCGGGGGGTAGGGGGGGTGGGGTGTACGGTGCGCAGCGCCGTGGCTTCTGAATAAATGAAAATGATTTAACACAGTTGTTTATACTTTTAGCAGCTCTTTTTATTCCACAGCTGACCTGCTAAAAATGACAGATTTTCTTTTCTGGATCTCTGACAGACGGACTTCAATCTCTGAACTCGTAAAGTTTTTCTTTTTAGTTTTCGCTGTCATTTTCATGAATGAATGGACACTTCCTGATATCTGAGGCAGGAAACAACCTTATATGGTGTTTTTGGGGTGGTAATTATGCTAATCTCCTCTCGCGTGCACGAGCAGCTGGATAGAACAGGTGGAATTTACGCAGCTCATTTACACACTTTTCCTGAAGATAGAAGAGTTTGTTGAATCTGACGTGACATGTTYGTACGAACCCTTTGTACGAACAAAAGTAAGAGAAATTTAGGATAAGAATACGAACTTGTTCTTGCATGAGGCCCATTGTTTCTTTATCAGTTGATGAAATTCAGTAAGTTTAAAATGATTGCAACACACGAGGTATTAAAAGCTGCTTGAACGAGTGAACTGCAGATTATTGAAGGAACTGAGGTGAATTCATGAAGGTTGGTCGTTTTTAAAGTGGAGTTCTGTGTAAAAACTATAAACAACATTTTACCCGTTGTAGATAGCTCTGTGAACAACTTCACTTTGAAGAAACAAAGTTTAAGTTTCTAATGTTTTACACAACTTATCAAAACTTTGTTATGACTAAATTACTCATGTAGTTTATGATCTAATTGTTAGCATTACAGTTTGTACAGGTCCAATAAGACTAATATTTATGGGGTGGGTGTGGTAGAGTGGTTAGGGGAGTCGTCCTGGAACCGGAAGGTTGCCGGTTCGATCCCCGTCCAGTCGACTCAGTTGTTGTGTCCTTGGGCAAGACACCTTACCCGCCTTGCCTACTGATGGTGGTCAGAGGGTCCGGTGGCGCCTGTGTATGGCAGCCCCACCTCTGTCAGTGTGCCCCAGGGCAGCTGTGGCTACAGTGTAGTTTGCCATCATCAGTGTGTGAATGTGTGTGTGAATGGGTGAATGTCTGTAGTGTGAAGTGCTTTGAGTGTCCTGGATGGATAGAAAGGCGCTATATAAGTACAGTCCATTTACCATTCTTGTAGATGTTTTTATTCCACCTTCAGTGTTAAACAAAATTTTCATAAGCAGGACTGACGAGCTAAAGGCTAGTCTGAGTAGAGCCAAGTAGTGGTTTTTGTGCCATCATCTAAATTTTACAGTGTTTAATGCACATATTATTTTATAAACCCTATTACTCAGTTGTGCAACAGTGTTTCATCAGAAATATAATGATACTTCTGCTGGATGAACCGCWGGCTGCAATGGAAATGCTACAGCTAGCTGCTGATGCTAATTACACTCGCAAATAACCGTAGAATTCTATGTACATAAAAGTATACCAAGAAACTGATAGCTGTGTAAAGGGTTATAAAACAGAGTTAATACAATTCATGCATTTATCAAATCTATGCTAGATTATTGTTCTTTATTATCTGGGCGTCCAAAACTTCCATTTTCTGTCCGTGAGGCTGACACTCTGTCTACTTTTAAGATTAGACTGAAGACTTTCCTTTTTGATAAATCCTATAATTAGACTTATGTTTCCTGAATTATTCCTTAGTTATTATAGTTAATTAGTTCTGCTGCTATAGACTTAGACAGCTGGAGGACAAACTGAGCACATTTCCTCACTCTGCTGCTGTCTTTAGTCTCTCTCCTCTACATGTTTGTTTTTATTCCATCAAAAATGTGTTTTCTTTGTCTCTCTTCCAGAGGAAAATACACCTGGACCCAGTTCTGTTCAGTCCTTCTGTGTCTCGTTCCTGTCCCTCAAACCCAGCCGGTCGATGCAGGTGGCCACCTGTCCTGAGCCTGGTTCTGGTTCTGCTGGAGGTTTCTTCCTGTTAAAGGGAGTTTTTCCCTCTCCACCGTTTGCTCAGGATGGAGACTGATGAAGTGATTYAACACAATCTGCTGGCTTCCTTGGACTGATTGTTTTTTTACACAATGACCTGGAATATTTGCTGTGAGTTGGCACTGTATAAATAACCTGAATTGAAATGAACTGAAATTTCTGCACTTGGAGAAATTCAACTTGGCTTTGCTTAGACCAGGGGTGTCAAACTCATTTTCAGCGAGGGCCACACGAGCCTTATGGTGGCCCTCGAAGAGCCAGTTGTAATGAACTTTTTGATGTTTCATGTTAGTGTTTTAACACTGATAAGAATTAAGTGTATGACTGACTAAATCTGAAATAAATACAGAAATATTATTAAAAATAAAACTTATAAAGTTTGACTCACTGATGAGTTTCTAGTGAGTAACTAGTATGTATTATGACAGATTTAGTTTATGGTTGATGTTGACTTTAAAGCAGCTTATTTTCAGACTGCTATCCAACTAAACTGTTCAGCTACTTAAAGCCTACAGCTCAGGGGCAGGACAGTTGTTATCTTTCACCTTTTAAATTTATTTTGTTGCATTTAATCATACATTTAAAGTTTACCTAAGAAACAATTTTCATGTTAAGTAAACCCCCCAACCCCGGGGCCTTGAGTTACATGTGGCTTAGACAAACAATTTCTTCAAACTGAGGTCATTCAAAGAGTTATCTACAACAGGTAAGACTCTGATTCTTCATAACTCCCCATAAATCATCAGAATCTCTGTTTAATAAAAAGAAACATGGAGCCATGCCATGTGTGACTGAGTCAAACTACATCAGGGGTCTCCAACCTTTTTCTCCTTAAGAGCTAATTTCACAAAATGAAATTGTCCGAGAGCTACTTTTTGCAACATTTAATTTTAAACTTAAACCACTGGAATAAGCTTGTTTTGCACAAAAACGTTGTCTTCAATTCACACAAAACTATTACAAAGAACACTGAATTTACATGAATGTGCTTTTTGTGATTATTCATTCATATTATATTGTATTTTACACTAATAACTTAGGGTTTAACTGCAACAGATTTGTGCACAAACAACGTTGGGTAAAGTGTCTCTGATTTTTTTTTCCGCATTAAATCTCAGCGGGGAAGAAACCCCGAGTAGTGACGTATACTGCAGCAGGAGGGGTTTCCCAGGAGTTGGGCACAGTTTGTCTCAAAGGTCTATGAAAAGTGTATGAAAACGAATGCCGAACAGCCACATAACTGTGAGTCATCTGCCGATCGACCAAACTGAGCCCTAAACTGTTTGACAACAAAGGAGAAGGGACATCTATAGATTGATTGGAGTTAAATGAAAGTTTGTTTGGCCAGTGACAAATTAAATTTTGCTTCTMCTAATTTTTCATAAACACTGAAGAGCTACTTTAAATGAGCCTGGGAGCTACCGGTAGCTCACGAGCTACTGGTTGGAGATCCCTGAACTACATTAACCTGAAGAGTCGGTCCTCAGTGCTTTATCCTAACACTGAATATAAACTCGTCAGTTACTTGTCCCAGTCAGCTGTGGTGTGTTTATGTACGTCCTTTTACCCTCAACCACTTCCTGTCATCCACTTTTACTTCACACATCAACACATTTCTGAATACCTCAATAAAAGCAGAGTCCACTGATAGAAAGGATTTAAAACAGTCCTCTGCTCACCTGCACAACAAAGTCCCGACCTCGAAAGTCTGCGATGGTGCGCGGCAGCCGTGTGCGACCCCAGACGAACCTCAGGAACAGCGACCTCTCCGTGTTGGAGAAGGACTCCATCACTTCCCAGAACCACTGGATGAGCGGCGCCGTGGGCTCCACGCCTTTATAGGTGGCCACCGACTTCAGCAGGTGGAGCGGGATGTCAGGACTTCCACACACCTGGAAACAGGAGCAGGTGTTTCTGTCAGACTCTAAAGGTGAACCAGCAGAGGGTGCAGGAGTTCCTCCTCACCATGGTCTCCAGCTCGTAACCAGTGAAAAGTGAYAGCAGGGGGACGGGAACCACTCGGGCCATGCCTTCACGCACCGCAGACACCTGCTCATCAAACTCATGGAGTCTGCAACAAAACAGGAGTGTTGTAAAGACAAGCAGCTGCAGGTGCACCTGCGAGGCGTCAGAGGGGGGTTTCACCTGTAATTAATGGCCAGGCGGACATATTCAGCTCGGTTCTCCAGGGTGATGTGGGAGTATTTGGAGCTGAGCTGGATGTCCTGACCGCTGGCGTTGGGCACGGTGAAGGGCAGGGTCATGGCCTCGAACTCTTCAGCTGTGGCTTCGTTGTCTCTGATGTACATCAAGCCAGGAATAAAATCTTTATCAACCTGAGGAGGACAGAAAACCAGTTTCACTCATGTTTTCCTCGTGTCTGTGTGTGTTGTGGGCTCAGATACTCCCACAGCACAAGTCTTGTGAACTCTGCAGCCACCCGCTCTGTCTTGTGCTACAATCATTTCCTATCTAACCTTTCCAGTATCTCAGGGGCACAAGCAGCGAACAAACGCAGCATTCAGAGGGGAAAGGCATCCACTCCTCTCACAAAGAGAGTTCAGGAGCGTATGATCAGAGCGTGAGGGCTGAGGGAACTCACGCCACCTTCTACACGCAGGCCCAACGTGTCATACACTGAAACTAAACGGGACACATTTCCAGGAATATAGGAGGAATCTGGCTCCAGTAGAAAACTATCAAATGTATAAGAATGTGCTTTTTAGTGCAGATCCTGTGAGCWGCAGGTGTTTTATAAGATCTGATTTTACAGCTCCAACACAAAACAGGGCCAATAAAAACAATCAAAGCCCTTTGATTTTTAAATTGTGTAAGAGTTAGTTTTTTTTGTACCTGACCACCTCTCTGATGCTTTATCATCATCAGGTTAATCATAAATCTAAAATTCTACAAGTTTGTCATCAGTATGGCAAAAAGGATGGTTGACTAATGAACAAATTCTAAATCTTGTTTATTCTTAAGACACTTGAGGATATGAGGATAAATGTGTCCAGGGCAGGACATATTGGATATAAATAAATACTGTCAACTTTTATTTTTTTCTGATTTAAAATCCATCTTAAAATAAATTAATTTTAAATTTTAAAAAAGAATACATCATTTTTCTTGTTGAAAATATATTTTTATAATAAATGAAGTCATTAGCAGGCAGACTGAGCTGTCATAGAT